TAAATTTTTTTTGAATAAACGAACAAATTATAGGAGCTATTTATATAACTTATGATAAAACTTCTTGAATCAACGTAACTCTTGACATAGACCGAAAATAGTAAGCCAAATAAAATGTTATGGCCAAATTATGAGGTACAAAGATAAGATACTATTCATAAGTAACACATGTATTATATATTATATTTATATTTATATAATATATAATTCTAACTTTTTAAAAGCTTATTTAACTAAATAAATAACCCTTGAAAAAGCTATTATCAACTTATTGATGCTCTTAAGCTCAAGGGAGTGGTAGCATGCTTAGCATGTTGTCACATCAGATTTTTTGATGCCATGTCAAATTTTTTGAAATCACATAGGATGAAAAAAGCTGTAGCATCCAAATTGCAAAAGGTAGGGAGTGGTGATGCATTAGTTTAAGGGAAAACTACAATAAAGTCCCTACATATTGGTCTGATAATCGATTTAGCCATTATATTTTTTTTTATTCAGTTAAGTCCCAAATACCGGTAATCGTATTCAATTTAACCCTTTGACCCGGTCAACAGATCATCCAACTTTCAAAAATTACATTTTCGGCCCAGATTTCAAAATTTATTACAAATTTGGTACAAAATTTACATTTTTGGCCCAGATTTTAAATTTTTTTACAAATTTTGTCCAAAATTTACCCTTTTTGCCCAAATTTTAAAATTTTATTATGAATTCATCCTAACTTTAGTTTTTTTACAACTTTTTTTTTCTCAAAAGTATGTTTCTAATTTGTTTTTTCTTTAAAACTCATATTTATACAAAAAAAAACATATTTTCACATAAAAATCTTATTTTTTCTATATAAAAACTTTTTTTAAAAACTTTTTGTATATGAAATATCTAATTATAAAAATAGGTTTGGATTATTTGTGTGATTTCTCTTAAAAAATCAATTAAGAAATTAAAAGTAACCCTAAATTATACTATTAAATTATAGTTTTGTCAAAAACTAGTTACACTAGTTACCCTAAATTAAAAGTAACCATAAATTATACTATTAATATAGAGATTTTAATATGTGTTCTATTTAGTGTGTATTTTTTTTTCTATGAGATTTTAATATAGTTGTTTATATGTATTTTTCAATCTGTTGTATCTTCGTAAATTAAATCATACCTTCGATCACATATATATATGACAAAAGGTATGTAAAGTTGTTCTAATCTCATATATGACAATCCATATTGATTTCAGTAGGAGTTGTAATTATCAACGTTTGTAATACTTTTTTACATTTGTTAAATGCCCTTTTCTACCAAAAACCTCCTTATCGACAAATGACAATTGCTCCATTCTAGATAGTTATTTTTTGTTATTACAACAAACAAAATTGACACATGAATCCGATTTTACAAAGAAGTTTAAATAAAGAAATCCAAAGTGATGATGAACTATATGTATGAACATGTATTCAGCGAGAAACAAAAAATATGAAGTTTTCAATATGTAGCATCTTCTATTATTTAAACTTTTCCTATAAATGTGATTAAAGAACAAATAAATAATATTAAAATGAGTGTAACTAGTTTTTGACAAACTATAATTTAATAGTATAATTTATGGTTACTTTTTATTTCTTAATTGATTTTTTAAGAGAAATCACACAAATAATCCAAACCTATTTTTATAATTAGATATTTCATATACAAAAAAGTTTTTATATAGAAAAAATAAGATTTTTATGTGAAAAATGTTTTTTTGTATAAATATGAGTTTTAAAGAAAAAACATATTAGAAACAAAACTTTTGAGAAAAAAAATTGTAAAGAAAACTAAAGTTAGGATGAATTCATAATAAAATTCTAAAATTTGGGCAAAAAGGGTAAATTTTGGACCAAATTTATAAAAAAATTTAAAATCTGGGCCAAAAGTGTAAATTTTTGACCAAATTTGTAATAAATTTTGAAATCTGGGCCGAAAATGTAATTTTTGAAAGTTGGATGACCTGTTGACCGGGTCAAAGGGTTAAATTGAATACGATTACCGGTATTTGAGACTTAATTGAATAAAAAAAATATATAATGGCTAAATCGATTATGAGGCCAATATGTAGGGACTTTATTGCAGTTTTCCCTTAGTTTAATTGGTTTTATATTGGAAAAAAATATTAAAAAGGAAAAAAGAAAAAGATTTTAGCCAATAAAAACTCACCATTGAAGTTTCTCTCTCTTCTCGTCATGTTTATGGCGAGACATTCTTAGCAAGTGCTTTAACATTTTAATGGGAGTGGAGCTGGCACTCTTGGCGAGTATAGAGGCGAGAGGGGTGGCGAGGCCACTCTCTCAAGCCTTACAAAAACATATGTGAAGTGACATCACAAATGTTCTGAGAAGTGATACATAAGATCCACATTGGGAGATGGAAATAGTAATATAACATCACAAATAATCATAAAAGTTTATAGTAAAAAAGGATTTGTGATACAAGTTCCAAGCTTAGGAAAAAATTAAAAGTCAAGGTCGAACACATTTTTCTCCTTACATTTTTCCCCACTTAATACCTACAATTGATGTACACTACATGAAAAAACCTAAATCACATCATTCAATATATATACATCTATGTAGGTTGTTGGGTACCTTATAAAATTCGACATTTGCAATCCAACTCATAAACATATTTTTTTGGTAAAGGTTTGAAAATGTCAAGTTGATAGAAAATGGATGTTTAGGAATATTGTCACCGTCTTTGATGGCTTCATTCTTTAAAGCAAACCCATGTTTGCCTTTCACTCGGAGCAACACCCGTTACCAACTCTTATTTTGACTTTATCAAGATCTATAATATAACTAAATAAACAATAATTTGAATCAATCATATCACATCATTACAATCAGAATCAAATATTAAAAAAATTGTTTTTTTAGTTACAAAAATTATACAGCTCCCAATTTAATATGTAATTTAACAGAACTATTTGATTTTAAAAAAAATATCAATATGGAATTATGATGTGAACAAAATCATCACCGATAATTGTATACATTTGATAACGAAGTAACAAGTAAAAAGTCTTATTAAACAGAAAATAATTGTTACGTTATAATTTGAACTAATAGTTTTAATAGACACAAAAAGAAAATAATGACTTTTTGAACATTTGGGGATTTTTTTAACAATGAAAATAATACCTTAATTTTATTTTAGCATTTCCTTAACCCTTTCTTTATAAAACAATATGATAGATGAGTTACCATACTACCAAGTCATACTTGCTCGTACAGACATAAATTAATAAAAAAAATAGTAAACCTTTAAAGGTTGAATATGTTAGTATTATGCCATCTTAAAAAAAGATATAGCTTCCACAATGTGCTATAACATGATATTATGGGTTGTAGATAACGTTACACAATGTGGAAAACGTACTTTATTATTCATCCTAAAAGTACAAAGGTATTGGGGTCTTTTTCGATCATTAATTGTTGCAAATTGCAATGCTTAAAAATTAAAATGTAAAAAAGGATGATGCAAAAAGAGGTGCATGTCATTTATGAAGTATCACAACCAACGTTCTACACTTATTTGTATCACATTTTTGTATTTGTTAGATATTGGCGACTCGTCTAACAAAATGTCAACAAAAGTCAAATACGTATGTTTATTTTGAATTGACCAACATTCATGTTTAATTTCCCTTTTTTGTTAATACAAAATGTCCTACACTCATTTTTCGTCTCTCATTATTTCGAATTTTAATAATGCATGGTTAGCTTGGTTTTATGTTTTTTTATAGTTAGTTAATTGACAAATTGTATAAAAACGCCATGTTTCTTTTTTGTGATTTTAAGATTACATTATTTTTTGTTTTGAATCGAACATTGTATTTTTAATTTTGTTCAATATTACCTTTTTATATTTTCATTAAATGGCACCAAAAAATAATGTACTTTCATTTTCTTTCTACTTAGACAATGCATTTCCATTTTTAAGTTACAAAGACACTATGTTTTCATTATTTTACCTATTTTTGACGATTTTGATTTCGTATTCTCCAACTCATTATGACAAACCGAGTGACCCACGAGAGTCCATTGGAATGGTCTTGAAAAATACAATGTTCGATTTAGAATAAAAAAATAATGCAATGTCGAAATAAAATAAATAAATATATATATATATATATATATATATATATATATATATATATATCATTTGCCCTTAATTAATATATTAAATATATACTTATAATAAAAAAAACAAATATAAACACATTCATACAAGTTGTTTTTTTTAATTATTATTATTTTTAACAAAATAGATCATTATTTTTTAGTTTTCCAAAAAATAATCATTACTATTTGATTCAAAATTAGTTCTCCATATATTTTTAGACTTTTTCTATACCTTTTTGTTGGAAAAATATCTCTCATGACACTTTATTTTCACATTATAACAATCATTCTTTGCCGTGAAAATGGTGTTTAAAAATCTAATAAGAAAAAAACTTTAAAAAATCGAAAAAAAAAACTATGTACCTCAAAATAATATGAATAATTCCACAGCATATAAATCACAATTCCAAAGTAGGAAAAATAAAAATTCTCTATGTATATAATTTCTTTTTGACAGGGACTATACAAGAAATAAATGCCATATGAAATAATGATTTTACGGTAAACATATTTCGAAATTTGTGATTATTTGTAGATTAAATCAACAAATCAGTTCTGGCCTTTTTTTTGTTTATATCTCTTACGATAATAGTTTCATAACTTCATTTAACTATTTTCTATTTAATTTATTATTTTATTAAAAAATCAATAATAATCAGCAATTTTTTTGGAAAAAAATATTTAAGATTTATGACAATTTATTTTAATTTTGCCAAAAAAGAGTATTTTGAGATGAAGTGGCCGAGTAAGACAAATGAACATCCGTGGCCCCTCCGCGTTGGACCCACCACCGTATTTTGCTACACCCTGTTCTCCAATCGCACATGTATAATCATCATCATCATCACTTGAATTCTTCAAAACCCTCAAATTTAATCCATTTATTCTCCCAATCAAAGGAGAAATTCTCGCCGGAAAAACAAATCCACGCCGTCTTTTTCTACAATTTTTTCAACATTTGTTTCCGCAAGCACCGCCTCACGCCTGTAAGCAATCTTGATTATGTCTTCTCCACCGCCGGTAGCTTCTCCGGCACCCACCACCCCATCTACACCACCATCCACTAACACAACTTCACCACCACCCGCTGCAACTACACCACCACCCGCTGCAGCTACACCACCACCCACTCCTTCTGCCCCGCCTCCATCCACCCCTGCTTCTCCTCCACCTCCATCCACACCTCTTTCTCCGCCGCCGTCTCCAACCCCACCAACCCCCGTCACCCCTGTTCCTTCTCCCCCGACTCCTGTTACTCCACCTCCAACCACTTCCCCCGCACCACCCACAACAACCTCCCCGCCCCCTTCATCAGCTACTCCTACGCTACCATCACCATCGCCTCCGACTCCGTCACCTCCCGGCTCTACGCCATCTAACCCGCCACCATCCGTTCCAAGAAATAGCCCACCGTCTACTCCGGGACAAACTACATCCTCTCCACCGCCTCCCAGGAGTGTGTCTTCTAGTCCTCCCGCGGCTCCGTCGTCTGACGGCTCTTCCGGAATTTCAACCGGGGCCGTCGTTGGAATCGCCATCGGCGGAGTTCTGATACTCGCGATATTTAGTATTCTGTTTATTTGTTGTAAAAAGAAGAAAAGAAGAACCAACGACCCTGCCGGTTTCTATGTTCCTCCACCTCCACCACCTAAAGGTCAGATTCCGTTCACCAAAAATTTATCAGGGATCTTAATTTCTTGTCATTTGTGATGTTGATTGTTTGACTGGTGGTGCAGCTGATCCTTACCATCCTCAACAATGGCAGCACAACGCGCCACCTCCTGGCGATCACGTCGTAATGATGCCACCACTGAAACCCCCGCCAATGGGAACACGGCCACCACAATCGCCAGCTAGATCACCTTCACCACAGCCTCCACCGCGGCCGCCGTTTCTGAGTAGCAGCGGTGGTTCGGGATCAAATTACTCCGGCGGTTCGAACCCACTTCCACCGCCTACCCCCGGTATGTCACTAGGTTTCTCGAAAAGCACATTCACATACGAAGAATTAGCCATGGCTACCGAAGGTTTCTCCGAAGCCAACCTCCTCGGACAAGGTGGGTTCGGATACGTCCATAAAGGAGTGCTTCCGAACGGAAAAGAGGTCGCCGTTAAATCATTGAAAGCCGGAAGTGGACAGGGAGAAAGGGAGTTTCAGGCGGAGGTGGAGATCATTAGTCGAGTTCATCACAAACACCTTGTTTCTTTAGTTGGATATTGCATTAGTGGAGATCAAAGAATGCTTGTTTATGAATTTGTTCCAAACAACACTATGGAGTATCATTTACATGGTATGTTCTTCGTTTCTTCATCCCAATCCATTAAATTATATCAAGAATCGAGCTTTATTACTTAAAGATTCGAACTTTTCAGAAACCCTTCAAAAAAAAAATTGTTAATTTAGTAGAAAGATTGTGAATTTATAATCCTGAATAATGTTTCAGGCAAGAATCGCCCTGTGATGGAGTTCTCAACAAGATTGAAGATTGCTCTAGGAGCTGCAAAAGGATTAGCTTATCTCCATGAGGACTGTACGTTTTTTTTTTTTTTCACATTTATTGTGTTATGATTTACCAAAAAAAAATCTTCAACGTTTTGTTTTCTTTATTTCCAGGTCATCCCAAGATTATTCATCGTGATATCAAGGCTGCTAACATTCTTCTTGAATTCAATTTTGAAGCAAAGGTAAGATCTTTTGATATGGATGGGATAAACAATTGCATTTTTTTGTTGGGTTTAATACAAGAAATACAAAATAAAAGAAAAAAAATGAAAGTACATTGTTTTAATTGGGCCGTGTAATTTCTCAGGTTGCTGATTTTGGGCTTGCCAAGATTACTTCTGATGTAGCCACTCACGTCTCAACCCGAGTGATGGGAACTTTCGGGTATGATTTTCTTAATTTCGAATTCCATTTTTTTAATCGAATTATTTTTCATTTTTTTTTTGTTTTAACTTTTATATAGTTACCTAGCACCGGAGTATGCAGCTTCAGGAAAACTCACGGAGAAATCCAATGTTTTCTCATACGGAGTCATGCTCTTGGAATTGATAACCGGACGAAGACCCGTTGATACCGCTCAAACTTTCATGGACGATAGTTTAGTCGACTGGGTGAGTAAAAAATAGCAACTTATTTTCATTTATCAGTGTAACCCTGAGCTGGCCCACAACATCATGTGAGATGTAAATAGGTACACAGTGGTCCCGCCAATCCACATTGGAATTAAAACTCTCACACTACTGCTAAAACTTGAACCCTTGACCTTTTCTACAAAATATTATACTTTCGGTTATCAAAAGTTTCGTATTTACTCATTATACTTTGAAAAAACTACCCAATTACAGGCAAGGCCATTGCTAACTCGAGCTTTAGAAGACGGAAACTTTGACTCCATAGTTGACCAACGTCTACCGAAGGACTACAACCATAACGAGATGGCCCGCATGGTGTCATGTGCCGCCGTGTGTGTCCGCCACTCGGCCCGCCGGCGGCCCAAGATGAGCCAGGTGGTCCGCGCCCTAGAAGGCGATGTGTCCCTGTCTGATCTCGATGAGGGGATCAGACCGGGACACAGTTCGGTCTATAATGGGAGCTCAGACTACGATACGGCTCAGTATAACGAAGATATGGTTAAATTCAGAAAAATGGCTCTCGGGACACAAGAATATGCGAGTAGTGAGTATAGTCGACCCACGAGTGAATACGGGTTGAACCCGTCCGGGTCAAGTAGTGAAGGGCAAAATACACGAGAAATGGAGATGGGGAAGTTGAGGAAAGATACTCGGGGTTATAGCGATGGGTTTTGATTAATTATAATTGTATAAAAATTTGATGCTAATTTTTTTTTTGGATATGTATTTAAATTTGTTTTGGTCTTTTTTGAAACGATAAAATGGTATACAATTCTTTAATTTGAAAGAATAAAAGGGATGCTAATTTGAAAGATTCAAAGGGTTTTTGTTGCGACTTTTGTGGTGTGTTTGTTTTTGACAGTTGGATCGAAGGTTATTTTAATGGAGGGTTTTTAAGGGTTTGACAAAATAATCGCAGCTGTCATTTGTCATTTTGGACGTCGTCGTTTATGGATAATGGGTAGCACGTTATGTGGGATTTTGGGCGACTAATGGGATATTCATGTAATTTAAAATTGAAGGGCAGGTTGTTAAAAAACAATTGAAAGGATAATGTTATACAAATAAACATGAATTTAAACATGATATGTTTTAATCCGTTTCTTTTTGCGAGAAAGGATAATGTTATACAAATAAACATGATATGTTTTAATCCGTTTCTTTTTGCGAGAAGTTATATATAAAAATGGATGTTTATAAGCTTTTTCAAGTAACAAGTTTTGATAGTTGGGTTTTGGACTCACTTGCTTAATTAACGAATTAAATGCTTTTTAATTTGTGATAAAGTTCTAGTATTGGACTAATGGTAGGTTGGTATTGTCTTCCACTACACGCCTAACATAAGAAAACTTATGTAAGCGAGATATCTTTTAAAATAAATAAATCTATAAACTAAATAAATTTATAATCGATTCAATTAGAACTATGATAATGTCATCCATTGTTAGTCTTTTACGGATTGTAAAACTATTACGATTATAGATTTTAGGTTCATAATATTACTAGATATGATCTATTGTATTATGAATTCCACATATTTTGGTGCTAGGAAACCCAAAGTAGACTAACACGCATGATAGAAACATATATTGATTATCAATGTATGTTTTCTCGTACTTTGTTACTTTGTGTGACAAAATAATTAAAAGAAATAGCTGTATTTGTCAAAATATTTCTCCAAATAATCTATTACGGTTGACTAGGTTGACTAGTTGTTTGTTTTTATAATTGTAAACTTAAATCAAACCCAAAAAATGAATTATCAAGTTTGATTAACCAAATTAATAATCAATAAATGTATTGAATATTGAAAATGTTATGTTATAACATTGCATTTAAAAAAATATATGTAATATCATTTAACTACAACATAGTTTTCAAACTAGATGGTAGATGTTCAAGTAGGGATGTTCACTATTTGGATAAAACCGAATTGTCCAATTGGACAATTTGGATTTGACTATTTGGTTCGGATATTCGGATATTCGGATTGTTTTCAACAAAACTGAATTATTATTTTGGATTTCGGATTGGTTTTGGTTTATAAAATAAGAACCGAATAGTCCAAAAAAACCGAATAATTATTTATTATTTATTTATTTTTAATATATATATATATATCTATAGTTATTTATTAATTTTGTAATTTATTCTTTAAAATAGGTTCAAAATATCACCCAATAAGAAAACATTAATATGCATTTTCTCTCAAAAAATTTCTATCTATAAAATATTTTAACTATAATATACATTCTTAGTAGTTGTTTATAAAATTCAAATCACAACTAAATAATTTGTTCACTTCTTAATTGGGTAATATTATAATTATATGTCATTTTAAAATGTTTTGGTTTTTGAAAACCGAATTATAAAAACCGATCCAACCGAATTATAATTGGATCAGATCGGATTTGAATTTAATTTGGACTATTCAGATCCATGTTTTAAAAACTGAAATTAATTTGGATTCACTTGATTGGATCGGATCAAACCGATCAATCCAAACGAACACTCCTATGTTCAAGTATAATACTAACTAATAAGATTTTTTTTAAAGTATGATGCTATTATTAAGTCAAAATTTTATAATAAAGATATTATAGATACCCACAAAAAAATAACGAATATTTGATGTGATAAATTAATAAAGTTATCATATTTTGTCTAGTTTAAAAAAGACAGCAAAATTTCCAACAGGTCAATTTGCGAATTACAAAATTATTTTCTGCTTAAGTTAAAAATAAAAATAAAATTATATTTACGATTTTTAATTTATAAGAATATATTTACATTCATGAAATAGATTTCTATATCTTTTGTAAGTTTTTTTACTCTAAGGAGCAATTTTGATTTTCTTTTTTATTAATTTTTAACTTATGTGCTTGATGAAAAAGACGATGAATTTTATTAGGAAAAATAAAATAAAATATATAATACATTAATAAAAAATAAAAAATTATATTTTAATATACACAAAAAATAAAAATTATATTTTAATATACCCAAAAAATAAAAATTATATTTTAATATACAAATTGATAATTTGATTTGCCGCGTGAAGTCCCGATGTGAAATGGTCAAATAAAAATTCTAGAAGGCCTTATTGACAACCTGGTTGCTTTTCCCGTTAAATGTTTCTATTTGTCAAAAAGAGGCAGTTTCCGTACACTCGATATATCTATAGGGGGTCAGTTGAAAATATAACGAAGACGAAAATTAAACGTGCGGTTTGATTATCTTTTTGATTTTGAATTCGTGATGTGATTCAAGCCCTAGATTTCTTTTCAGCTTAGAAAGTGAATCAGAGGTTTGAAGCTCGGAATCCATGGCGTCTCGTCGTCGAATGCTGCTCAAGGTCATAATCCTCGGCGATAGCGGGTCTCTATATCTCCTTTAATTCTTAAATTTACGTTTTTGTGATTGATAATTGTTTGGATAAACTGATTTAGAGTCTATTAAACTGTTTTTGACGTTTATTGGCGAATTTCAGCGTTGGGAAGACATCTCTTATGAATCAGTATCCTTCAGTTCTAGATGTTTTTCTAAACAATTATGCATTTAATACTATTTAGTATGAATTGGTAGATATTAAATCTAATTCGTGATGTCGATCGTAATTTTGCTCCCTCTGTTCATAGAAAGCTACACTACTTTGGATGTCAATCCATTTAGTCTAACTTCATATTTTGGTTATATGGATCTAAAGCTTTAGGAGTAAAAGATTGCGATTAGATCAGATCATAAAATGCTAATGATTTTATAATTTCAAAGATGCTCTACCAATTCTGCACTTACTAGAACTAGGTCTCCTGTCAAAAATCAAAATGCAGCTGTGCTATTGATGTTGCCCTTAAATGGTTCTAATTTAGATATGTGAATCGAAAGTTCAGTAATCAGTATAAAGCCACCATTGGAGCTGATTTCTTAACCAAAGAAGTCCAATTCGAGGATAGGCTTTTCACATTACAGGTCAACATCATACTATCTCTTCCTCTTCCTCTTTCCATATTCATCTCATATCTCTCTTATGCAACATGTTCATTATGTTTGATAATCACATTTAGTTATATCTCATTAGAACATTGCATGTGTAGATATATTCTCCATTTCGTATACCATAGTCTCTCTTTCTCTCCCTCACATCATCTTTATGATGGTAGACATGCTTCCAAAATGATCCATAAAAGACATTATTGTTTTTAGAAACCCTAAATGGCATGATATTTTGTTTACTTTCAGATATGGGATACAGCAGGACAAGAAAGGTTTCAAAGCCTTGGTGTGGCATTTTACAGAGGTGCAGATTGTTGTGTCCTTGTGTACGATGTTAATGTCAAGAAGTCATTTGATAACCTAAATAATTGGAGGGAAGAGTTTTTGATTCAGGTAACAGGTGTCACTCGGTGATTCATTACAATTTACAACACACAAACACAGTCTAACTCTAACACCATGTTGTACATGTTATTAACTACTGAAGATTTTGTCATGAATTTTCAGGCTAGCCCTTCTGACCCAGAAAACTTCCCATTTGTTGTATTGGGGAACAAAGTTGATGTTGATGGAGGCAATAGTAGAGTGGTAAGATGATTCTTTGTTCTTGAATCCCATCTTCTCAAAAATCCAATATTGAATCTTGATAACAGATTTGATCATGAAAAATGTAAATCATTTAATTCGTGTGGTTTATAAAGTATGCATCAAGATTTTATAATCTCTTGTTCCAAATTTTCAGGTGTCTGAGAAGAAAGCAAGAGCATGGTGTGCTTCGAAAGGAAACATTCCTTACTTTGAAACTTCTGCAAAGGAGGGTTTTAATGTTGATGCTGCTTTCGAGTGCATTGCCAAAAACGCCCTCAAAAATGAACCCGAGGAAGAAATGTAAGCTTATATTCATTTCCCTCATTTAATATCATTAAATTCACTCATTGGGTCACGAAAAAATGAAGATATAATCGTGGGTCTCATTACTTAATATAATGTAAAAAAAAATGGTATAATAAGATAAAACATGACTAGACTTGACAAGCTTTCTAGGGGTATTTTTATGATGAAGATGAGAAGGGCGTTTTCGTCTTTTGCACAAGCAAAAGATTAGGTCTAATCTCTGTCCCACCTTGTTCCACTTTCTTGGTAGGGAAAAAAGGTGCAAGTTTTTTCCCATTGACATCTGTCTCTAACACTGTCAATTGTCACTGTCACTGTCACTCTGTCAGGCTGAGTGTGTTTTCTTTTTCATGTTTTGTTGTGGATGAAGCTACCTTCCGGACACGATTGATGTGGGAAGTGGGCAACAACAAAGATCATCTTCAGGGTGTGAATGTTAAGTGGAAAGTTTGGTTTGCTTGACACTTGTGTGTACAATTTCAAAGTGTTGAATTCAATTGCAACAAGTTCTTTTTTACTTCATAAATTACTTAAGTGGTTATCATGTTCATTTCTTGATTTGTTTTCTGAATGTAGGAACACATATATGCATATTATTCGTACATTATAACTACTTTTAACTGATTGTTTGTTTTTTAGAAGACTGTAGATGTTAAAACGTTTGTGCATCCTTTTTTCTTAGAAGATTTGGAAAATCATTTCTAAGGCATGCAAAGGTTACAAAACATCTTATTATACATTTCTTAAAATCTGTTTATAGTGATAATGAAAACGATAACTACTTGGAAAATGAGTATTACAATTACTAAGTTATATATCATAGCTTCTTCCTTTTTGTCCTAAGCTTTATTTGTATTTAGGTTACTTGTTCTTGTTTTAAGGCCACTCGAAGTGATCAATGCGTGAAGGTGCCAAAAGGGGTGGCTGCCTAATCACAACACCGTTCCATCAACATTTTGGTATATATATATATATATATATATATATATATATATATATATATATATATATAGAGAGAGAGAGAGAGAGAGAGAGAGAGAGAGAGAGAGAGAGTTTTGGCTCTGATACCATGATATAGAATAGATTGTTCTCATATTATTGTTTGATCTCAAATAAAGATTACATATTAATACATAAATAAACTTTAAACCTAAAGGGTTTGGGCCTATTCAAAAAAAAAATACCAATCAAGTGAGTCATTTATTATTTAGGTGACAAAAAGAAGTTTATTCATATTCACATTCTATGAAATGGAAAGTGTTATGATACAGGAGAATTGTCCCCATCTTTGCTACTTAAATTGGACACCAATCTCGATCAATAAAAAGCCATAATTCCAAAAAAAAAATCTTGACAGCTCGAATCACTACTCCTACTCTTTTCACCTCAGTCTCAGAATGTTTTTTCCTTTTCCTTGTTCTAACAGTTAGTAAGCCATTAATGTCTTGCAGTTGGGCTTCTTAATCCATAAGCCTCAAGCTTCTCAATATACGACATCTTCGCTTTCGTCAAAATTTTCACCGGACTAGAGTTCCCATTCATCATCTCTATTTTTCCTTGATCAAAACCCCACCCCATTGAATCCAATAGATTCATCGAGCTAGGAGGTTTTCCTCCAGGACTATGAACTCCCGTCCAATCCTTCACTCCACGTATCGCTCGTGGTGATGATATTGATAGTGCTACAACATCCACTGATTGCTCCTTCTTCATCATCGTCTCCATTTCTGGATTTCGTACAACTTCATCTGCATAAAGTACGTCTTCTATACTGTTCATCACTGTGTTCGCCAAACTCTGTAACGCCCTCGAATAGCTCTCGAGTACAGCGTGACCAATATCCTACACATTTCATAATCAGAAAATCATCAGTTATACTTTATTACAAAAGGGAAGATTAGATATATTAGGGTTTTTGGATTTTGATCATACTTTATTGTACTCAATTTTGCTAATGTCGAGTGATGATTGTGGAAGTCCTGGGAATCTATGTTTCAGGAGGAGTAAAATGGTTTCTGCTCTTTCTTCAAATACTTCTCGTTTTTCTGAGCTTATGCTTGAACCCCATGAAGATTTCAAGTCTTTTTGATTCATCTTTCTCTTCCATATCACAATTGAAGCTTCTATTCTGTTCTTGAGCTCCATCACATTCTGATCTGATGATGTGTCCATGGAAAATAGGAATTCTCCAGGATCAAAATACTCATCTGTAATGCTCTTGTAGATCGAATCTCCTAGGCTAGCTTTACCATTCTGTTGTGGAGATAGATAAATTCATAAATTAGGTAACAAATCATGATGCCTGGAAGAAAGAAGTTCTCAAAGATTACCTTGGGGAGAGTTTCGATGTAGGTTTCTGGGATCTCCATTTCTGAAAGAACTTGAGCATTAATGGCCATGGAAGCTTTAAGAACTTGATTGCAACATTCCTTTTGATGTTGCATCCATTTTCTTGTTTCATCTGAGAGACCTCCTTCAGGAACTTTAACACTTGGTAGCCACCATCTATCAAGTCTCTGGACACCTTTTTCAGATTCATCTGCATCCTTTGCCACATACCAGAATTCTTTCTCATCTTTGAAGTTATCTAAACAATCCTGAAATATTTATTTATATTAATATTTTCCTTAAAATTAAAATGGAGTTGACTTAAAGTTTTTGAAAAAAAAAAAAAAATTGTTCTTCCAGCAACCCCTGAGTTGCCCACACTGCCCTATCTGTCTCAGAATCCAATCCACATTGGAATTGAAACTCTGACAGTAGGGGCGTTTTGGACTTTTAAGATGATAAATTGATGTAGGATTCATTACGATGAGCATGGCATCAAGCTTCTTTATGGCAGGGATGTTCATGAGGAGATCTGTTCGTTGTTGTGTCACCATAATCTGCAAAATTAAGATTTAAAAAAATAAGTTGAGGGATATAATTATATAAATATTAAAAAAACACAAAAAAAACACCCAAAATACACATAGTTGACCTCCATATTTGATCCATCTTTTCCTTGTTGTTGAGATGGAACGAACTCAACGATGTTATCGGTCACCGATAGAAGCCAATTAACTTCTTTTCTCCATCTCTTTTTTAAATCTTCCGGCATTGGAGCCAATTTATTTTGTTTTCCAAACACAGAAGCTGCAAAAATATAGTCAGGGGTTTGAGTCTCAACAGTCGCAGTGTAAGAGTTTAGTTTCAATTAACTTGTTTTGTAGAAATAGGCAAAATGAATATAAATGAATAAAAACGTATTGGTTGTGTATTAACTTGGAATTTAGAAAGAAAATATTACCGGCTAGATTTGTAATTGCATTCGATAGAGCCAAAGCTGATGAAACCCCGTTGCCACGACCCGACATATCTTCTCCCAAAAGCAACTTTGCAAATCTTTCCTTCATTTGTTCCATGTCTTCAAAAAAAAAAAACACTTTAAAAACCATTTCTTTCTTTGATGAAAAAAGATAAAATCAGGCTCTACTGCGTTTGACATGTATTAGATTGAGACTGAGACTGCTGTTAACCGGACATAAATTGCAATTCTTTGTCTCGCCCCAAAAAAGGTGGGACGTGGACTACTCGCTCATCATCTCTCGTATGTACAAAAGACGTAAATGCCCTTGTTATCGAAAACTCACCAGAGTTGGGCCTTTTCTTGACCTCGATACGAGCTTCTTCTGGAACTTGAGCTATATTGCGTTTCAATTCATCCATGCTTCTTGCTTTTTACAATGTTTCAGCAGTTGATATGATCTGATGTTTATGAAAATTTGTGCATATCTATGGCATGATGAATGCTCTGAATCTGTTTGAGCTACTCTTTTGAAAACGAAATATATCTATAGAAAAGTGAAATAAACCAAGAAAACTGAGAGAAAATTGGAGATTTATCATTTATGAGAAGTTTTAATTTGTTGTTTGTGATTTTGTTGGTGTATCACGTTTTGTTGGAGAATATAAACGTGGGTGCATGTTTTTTATTAAAAAATGAATGTACAAAAAGAGTAATATTTTTTTGGTCGGTTTTATTAGCTTAGTTCCTTCATGGCTAGCAGAAGGCGGGGGACCCAATATTCAAAGGTCAACTAAACTAACTTATCTCCCTATTTTTGTTGACATTTTCTCTTTTCTGGATAAAAATGTTAATATTACACCATAGCAATCAAATTAATATCAATTTGCACTTTTTGAAGTGTTAATCGTTTATATTAACCATCATTAATTACTTGAAACATCCACCTCTAAATGGTTAACGTTCTTTCATTTCCTTTGTTTTATTTCATAAAAAGATATTAATACTTATATAATGCTAATATTATTTTTATTTATTTTAAGAGACTTGGAAAATATACAAAATATGATAGTAGTTTGACAGTCAGTGAAAAAACTGTGAAAATAGTTGGTCATCTTTATATGTTTTTTGTTGGTCAAATTATTCTTCTTCGAAATGCAATATCCATTGAATGTGTTTTGTATTGTTTTCTTTATCAATGAATACGAAAACTTTGGTATGGTTGTTTCTTAAAAGATAAAAGAGGTGGGTTTGACAATGTGTATAAAATGTTTATAACCATGTTTAGCTATTCACAAGTTTGCTAGAATAAAAGCATTTTGGGCATATAAAAATAAAAAGTTTTGGCTCAATTAACATGTGGTGCGTCATTGAGAATAAATAAAGATTTTGAACTTTACATATTTCAAGCTCCAACGATTAAAATAGAAGCAACGTTGTGCTTCAGTAGAAAATAATTATTTATTTTTTATAGTTTTAATTTATTAAAATAATTTGGATAAATATGATATTTTAAAAATTTATAAAAAGTGTAGATAATATTTAAAACTTAGATTTATAAGAAAAATATAGTAATCAGTTTATAAAAATAAAAATTTAAAATGTTAACCAAATCCGGTTCCAAATTAATCTTATCTAATTTCTATCAGTTATTAATATTTTTGCTTTGAACCTGTTTGGATCATATCCAGTTTGGCATATGTTAATCCAAAACTTTGCGGTTTGTTCACCTCTAGCTTTGAAGAATTAATCAAAGGAATTGATGGTGCTTTATCAACCGATAATAATGTGGTGCCAATTTTTGCTAGTCTAGATCTAAACTTTTTATAAGAAATTTTAAAGACTAATTTGTGTATCATTAATCATCATAGGCTAATATTATGGACCAATGTAGCATAGAACTGACAAATGGATTAAATTAGATGGATCATTTACTCTAACGTTCATAAAACAAAGATACAATAAGGCTTTACGCACTTCACAATTGGGCCTTAAACAGGCCATCATTTTATAAAAGACCAGGCCCTACTTGAACAGAGCCCATAATTGCCAAACGCACTAGACTTTAACCGGACACTTAACGGTTTGTGACGATTGTATGAGTAGTGGTGAGACTTAAAGTTTGGGTACTAAATCTGACTAGAAGCAATAGTAAAGGGATACGATTTGTAACGTTTGGGCGTAAGAGCTGGAATCATATGATTAGGTACAGCTCATTGACCACCGGCCCCTGATGAAACATCACCCATCAAATATTGTGCCTAAATTACATAACAGTATCTATATATATTTTAGGGTTTAAATAACCATTTTTAATCGACACCTTGCTTCTTGCTGTTCCTCACAAATCACAAACAACAAACCCTCCGATTCTTCGCGACTACTACCTTGGTTTAGATTCACCTGATTCCAATTCAGATTTCAGTGTGTATGTGGGTGTATACAGTATAACACCCACATACAAAAAAGTTACAGATTTTGTAAATTTGAAGCAAAGTTTTAGATTGAGAAAGTAATGGGGGACGAAAAGTTACCGATTAGCCGAGAGAAAGATCGGGAGCTTCTTATACCCGTCGCTAACACCGTCGATGACGCTGCCGCCGCTTCTCCAAAACCCTCTTCTTCTTCAACTTCATCATCTCATAACGCTGGTCGCGAGGTCTCTCTCTCTCTCTCTCTCTCTCTCTCTCTGGTTTTCTCTATGTATTTGGCCTAGTTTTGTTTATGGAACTTGAGGATTTTAGATGATTGGGATGGGGTTACGCCGTAATCAATTGTATGATATACAATTCGTATTCTGTTTTAAGTTGACTAAATCAGTCATTGGTTTTTGAAAATTTGAAATTGTCCTAATTAGGTTTTCAGATTTGGGGAATCTATGTCATTGGTTAACCAAACTGGCAATTTTCTCACTGAATCTGGCACTCAGTAAGCATGAATAAGAAATAATCGGTTCATGCTCCCACCTTGTTTGTAGAGAAAATGGTACATCAAATTCGCATGTTGACACAAACCTAAAATCAAGCACTAACTTAGTTTTCAGCTTCAAATAATTTATAATAAACTTCTTTAAATCCACTATAATAATGTCTATATAAATCATAAAATACTACAAACAAACTTGTTTGATTTACATTTACACACACTATTATTTTTATGTAGACTTTTGGCAAAGTTATCAGGAGCTGGGCTTCTAAAAAGTTCATGACAGGATGGTAAGAAACTAAGAACAAGTTTCCTTTTTAATCATAAAACTTGTTTTTAATTTACTTTCCACTCATTTGTTGTTTTCTTTTAACCCTTTTTATAGTGTCATTTTATTACCCATGGCTATTACTTTCTACATTACATGGTGGTTTATACATTTTGTTGATGGATTCTTCTCTCCAATCTATGATCATCTTGGCATAAACATATTCGGTAAATCACTTGATGATAACATATTTCAAAGATTTATAACTATCATTCATATCTTCCTTTACAAACTCCAATTTATATTTTCACAGGTTTAGGGTTCATAACCTCAATAACATTCATATTTCTAATTGGAGTGTTCATGTCATCATGGTTGGGTGCATCTGTTTTAACCCTTGGAGAATGGTTCATTAAACGCATGCCATTTGTTCGCCACATCTACAATGCATCCAAACAGATCAGTTCAGCCATTTCTCCAGGTAGTTTTTTATAAATTTTAAGTCAAAATATATAATAATAAAAAAAAAGACACAATCTTTATATATTCATATGATACAGATCAAAACACACAAGCATTTAAAGAAGTTGCAATCATTACACATCCTCGAATCGGTGAATATGCATTTGGATTTATTACTTCATCAGTCACTCTTCAGGTATGTAGTATCTACACATCCTTTAATCTAATTATATTTATAATACCCAAACTACCCTTGTTCAATAAATGAATTTTTGTGACATAGAATTATTCGGGAGATGAGGAGCTATATACAGTATATGTCCCAACAAATCATCTTTACATTGGGGATGTTTTTTTAGTGAATTCAAAAGAAGTTATCAGACCAAATTTATCTGTTCGTGAAGGAATAGGTAAAAAATATAGCAATGTACTTTCATTTATATATATTTACAACTTTCAATCTTTTTTTATAATTAGAAAATTATTATACTTTTAGGGTTTTAGACTTTGGTCCCTGTGTAGAAAATAATTTACAAAAAACTGTCCCTGTAATTTACAGAAAAGGTCTCTAACTTTTTTTTACAAAAAAGGTTCATGTGTTTAAAAAAATTAGGTTTGAGACTTTGGCCACAAGATTTTGGCATGTTGGCAGGTTTGGTCCCTATGTAGAAAATAAATTATAAAGACTGTTCCTGTAATTTACGGAAAAGGTCCTGGTGCAGATATTTTTACAGAAATGGTCCATGTGTTTAAAAGAATTGCAAAAATAGTCCCTGCCTAATAGAAAACTGAATTGTAATTTTGATTTTTTGGGTATAGAAATTGTGGTGTCAGGGGGAATGTCAATGCCACAGATGATTTCAACAATGGATGCAAGCAGAACTAGAAACTCAGGGGAAATCTCAAGATATTAGATGCCCTTTTATTAATTGTACTCTTATTTACCATCAGATTTAAATGTGGTGTGACGATTTTACCCTTTCCGAAAGATAGTTGACGTTTATTTTTATTTTTTTGTAAATCTGGAAAAAGGTGGTTGTTGTAGATATTCTTTTTTTTTTTTTTTTTGAAAAGACTTGGGGTGAAGTAAATAGGTAATGCACTTATGCAGTGTTTTATGAATGTGTTTTGTAATTTTTTTTTTATATGACATGGTTATTTACTTATGTAAACTGAAAGTTAAATGATCCACAAAGCTATTCACTCGAATACTTTCGTAACACTAGAATTAATATGTACTAAACTAGATTACATGAATTTCTTTATTTGTATTTTTGGTTGAAAAAAAAATGGATTTTTGAAAGTGTGGATACCTTTTTGGGATAAAAGTTAAAGTTGTATTGATGAATAGATACAAATTAAAATTGCTTGTGATAAAAATAAATAAATAAAGTTTTCTAAAACCTACATTGAAAGTGTATGTGTAAGGGTTGTTTGCTAGTTGCCGGTTAAGTCAGATCTATCATGGCTGATTGTGTCTGAAAACCATGTTGTTTGATTACATATGGCCGACTACTGTCTGTTATGTTTTGTGATGAATAAAATGTATTTGTTTGATAAAACATTTGAATAAAAATATTGAATAGTTATACAATATATATACAAAATAGACAAAGCTACAAAAATGGTCATTGTGGTATGCATTTTTTCAAGAAAATGTCCAAAACATTATTGATGGTTCTTTTGAGCAAGTTTGTTTGTGGTTTTGGTCCCTCGGAAAAAGTAAAAAGTAATTGCCTTCATGATACATTTTTTCTGTTTTTTATATTTCATTTGAAGTTTTATTAATAATAAATATGGGCCCCACACCCCTCTCTCATGCCAAAATCCCTTCAGACCCTTTTACTAGCAAAACAAAAAACATAGCTTGAAGGTAAATGCTTACGTGTGTGTATGCTTTGCTTCTACCCCCTCTCTCCTTGATGGAAAACATCACCAAACAACACTACACATATACTACCTCTGCGGTGGAGATGCTTGGAGATGTTGAGGATGGTTCTAGGATAAGCTTGTTCGGTTCAAGGTATGGAGGTTTTGGAGGAGAAGAAGTTATTAAAGCATTATATGTTAATAGGGGATGTCTATTTATAAATAGTAGGATTCGTCAGCCTTGCTCGACCATTTTACGTCCATCGTCATCCTTGCTCCACCATCTCACAAGCCGAGAACCAACACTACCGTGAACGTGCATCACGCAACAACTTTCTAACCAACCATCCTTACAATCTTCATTGCTTCATTATCATCGCCATCAAATACCAGTGTCGATGATAGAGGGTAGATCGATTTTCCCTGGATGGGAACCTAAGCCTTGGGTTAGATAAGTAATCGATGGAACCCTAGCTTCACTGAAAACGTGATAGAATCGGGAAAGGGAAAGGAGAGAATGTGGTGTGTGCCCCATATTTATTGTTAATAAAACTTTAAATTAAATAGAAAAAAAACATAAAAAATGTATCATGAGGGCAACTTAGTCTTTTCATTTTTTTGAGGGACCAAAAACAACAAGCAAACTTGCTCAAAAGGACCATCAATCCAAAAGTTTAGTGGTTTGGACATTTTTCCTGAAAAAAATGCATACCACATGGACCATATTTGCAGTTTTGTCTACAAAATGTTATACAAAATCCAAATTATACATAAAATAATTACAAAGTCTATAAAAAACAATGATTGTATAGATGAAACAAACAACACCAAACTACTTCTCTAAACTTGATACGATACATGGAGGTTGATACATAAATGTCGGAATACATTAAACACCTTGTGATTGGCTTTAAAAGATGGTTCTTGTTACTTTCAAATACTACATCGCATAATCAATACAACACATTTTTACATTAGATTTCAAGCTATATATGTGCAATAATTACAAACGAAGAATGGTCAGTCCAACTCCATTCCCACAATTATCACATGGAATGGGGATTCCCAGATATCATGTTAAACTTACAACTATAACATAAAAATAATATTTATTCAAGACGTTGAGTTTAATATTTATAAAGAGACACCCTTGCCAACTCGTAGCTGATAAAGACTCTCATGATAAAAAGTATAACTAGTTAAAGCTAATTTTAATAATTAAATAGATCAATAAGTAATTTAACTTCATGAAATTACTTGGTATCATTCAACATTTGAAGTTTTAATGGAACATTCAGCTAAAAGAATACATGTAATGAAGAACAAACACATGAACTTTAATAAAGATTGGCTTTCATAAAACATGAGTTACTATTTCAGAAAATGCATAAACATTAGCATCTAATTTCAAAAAATACATAAACATTAGCATCTTATTTCAAAAAATACATGACCATAACATCTAATTTCAGCATATATAACATACAATATGACTTAAGAAAAAACACACACAAAATAATGTATGATTTCTTATCGGAGTTGCAGGAAGAAGGCGTTGGCAGAGGAGTGTCGGAGGAAGGTGCTGGAGAGGAAGAAAGTAGAGGAGGAAGGCGGTGACCGGTCGATTGGTCGATGCAACTGCTTGATGTCGTAACGAATGTAGGTCGCCGGCGAATGGTGGAGGACGACGGTGTAGTTGAGCGGGCGAAAGGGTGGCTGAGGAATGGTGATGGTGGAAGCTCTCGTTTGATCAGTTGAAATATGGAGGCGTAAGCTTTACACCCCGTTCCCGAGTTCAACTTAACGAGAGAAAAGAAAGGAAATTGGTGGAAATGAGAAAAAGGTAAAAGAAATTGGTGTTCCTGAGTTTCATTAAATGAAGGAAGTGGAATGATCACTTTCCTTCCTAACTTTCCTTCTGATTTGGAATGATTTTGAAATAAAGAACAAAATGATTTTACTTCCCTTCCACTTCTCTCCAACTCCTGAACACAAAATGAAATTTTCTTTTCCTTTCATTTCTTTTCTTTTCTCTCATGATTTTCTTTTTCTTCTTTTCTTTTCTTTTCTTAAACTCAGGAACTAGGCATTAGGGTCACAAAAGGGAATACACGTATTATTTTCCAGTCAACTAATCTTTTGGGAGGACCCGATAAGAGGTCTTTGGACCAAGTTAGAGGATAACTTTGGTGGTATCAACGCTCTTATTGGAACAAATTAGAGATAACCTCTTACTAGACCCAGTAAGAGGTAAATCAAACAATCCCTAAGTCTGGAGGGAGTGGTGTCACACTCTTCTTGCTTCCACATAGGCGCTTCATCATTTTTTGCCACAACTCGTCAACATCTTGCCATTTAGGGGGTGGTTTGCGATGTAACAAGTTTTTTTCTTTTATTTAAATAAACTACTTTATATGAAAACTAAAATTTTAATTAACTTGAAATGAAAATTACAATAAAACTTAAACACTATAAAAATAAGACACATGGATAAAAATATGAAACATGAAACATATAAAAATAAACCCTACATATTATATTTTTTGCAATCTACTCATTGGCCTTTAACGACAAATTTCTCTCCTCTTCGGGATAGCGACTCACATCTTTCACTAAGAGTTTCATGTCACGGGATATTTCATTTTCTTTTGCAACGCTCAAGTATAAATCCTAAGTAGTTTTTAAGTTTTTGAACATGCTCTTCATTTTATTAACATCGCTCGAACTACTTACGACCCATTTACCTTTTTGTTTTGTTTGTTATCTTCCCATTGGACGATTAGGTATTGGGATGTCAATAGGATTGTCTTCTTTGACGTCTACCCTGACATGTGCATCCGACGATTGGCTATGGGGGCGGTTTCAGATGTTTTAGTTCGTTTAGAACCACCGGTATATGATTCTGAAGTTTTTGATATCACTCCATTTTCTTATGTTTGGGTTGAGGTTGATCATTTTTGGGATCGGAATACGTTTCGGGTATGATATGGTGTTGCGATTCGGATTATAAATGAGATTGGGTTTGGTATTGGTTTTGGTTTTGGGATTGGGTTTGGAATTGGGGTTGGGGTGAGTTTGGAATTGAGTTGGGTTTCTTGAATGGGATGAAATCATTTTGGGATTGGAATAGAGGTTGGTATAGGAATTGGGGTTGGGATTGGGATTAGGATTGAAATTGAGGTTGGGTTTGGTTACGATATGGATTGTAGTATGGACCGAAATAGGGATAATGGAAAGTATGGGGTGAAAAATAGGGCGGTCCATTTGAGAATGGTAGAAGATGGATGATGAAGGGTTTGAAGTGGTTGTATTTTGTGTATTCTTATTGTTTATTCTTGGAGTTTTTAGGTTGGATGGGATTTTCACCAAATAAGAAAAATGTTTTAGTAAAATATGGAGAATATTGAAGGTTGATGTGTGATAAACTTTTTTGGATATGTGTTGGTATTTTTATTGCTTGAATGAAGGTTAAAATTTTGAATTTGGGTTGAAAAAAACGGATAATTTTTTGAAAGTGGGTATTTTTTTGAATTTTGGTAAATTGGGTGCACTCTTTCTCATCTTCTAGTCGTTACCAAGAAGGACCGACGAGCTCGGCATGCTAAACTCGCGGTCCGAGTTGCGTCGAGTCCACTTCAGCAATGTTGATGCCAATTTCCATAGCCTAAATGAATAACTTGATATCATCAAACATTCGTGTAACGACCCAAAAATCATGACCAAAATTTTTCATTTTAAACTATAATAAAACCCATAGTTGTCAAACCATTCATTCAAAACATATTTAATCAGAGTATCATAACTAAACATATCATATCAGAGTAAAATATCCCAGGCTAAAACATCACGGTGTGTGCGATGCAGTCATCCCGAACTCTTCCCTCCGCTACTGGAAGTACCTGAAACCAAAATTAAAAATCGTAAGCACGAAGCTTAGTGAGTTCCCCATAATACCACCTACCATATATATAACCACATACTGGGCCCCGCCCGCTGCATCGGAACTTGCCCGACATCTGACTCGCTCCGGCATCGTGCCCCGCCCGGCATCAGGCCCCGCCTGGCATCGAGCCTCGCTCGATATACAGATCTGTCTCTCACATGCCCCGCATGTCTTTGGGCCTCGCCCGCTATACACATACAAACATATAACATACTAGCACGTAAATAAACATACTCTACTGTACTCCTGCTCTAAGGCCTCGCCTATCT